TCTTGGTTAACAGATTTTTCTAGAAAAATAATGGAGCGGGTGGGCAAAAAAAAATTAAAATAAAAACAGGCCTAGGCATCCTATTATGGCCCAAAATGGTACGATAGGAGTCATGAAGTCAACACAACAGGCTGGTTCAAAATTTAAACAATGAATTTTGAACTTTTAATGATACCATTGCATTGAAAGATGGAATAACTGTAACAACTAGGATGAAAAGGTCTGTTTTCAACTGTTCGGGCAAAATATGAGCATTTTGCAGTTGATTCTGGATTTTTATTTTCATTTGCAAATCAGAAAAAAATGAAGTGGCGAATCCGTTAACCAAGAAATTAAATTGGTGTGGCCTAAACATAACAAAATTTTGGGTTAATAATTGCCCACTCTACCTCTGTGCCAAATTTCAGATCATCTTGCTGTAAAATAACATTTGGATCCATTTGACCTTAAAACTGTCCCGTCACCGTAACATCTGCTTGGAGATCACTGTGGAGCCGCGAACTGCGGTGTGAGACCCAAAGGTCAGCGGGAGGTTATTCTTTTCAAGATGGCCGCCGGGACTGATCATAGAGGTTTGTTTTCGTTAGTTTTTAGAGCAAAACTAGAAACACAGCGGCTCTGTGGTTTTAGTTTAAGAGTCTAGGCTAGTCAGGGACTATTAATGTTTTTGGCCTCACTCACTGTAACGTAGCAGTGGCGGCATTTTTGGGCCGTCTCCTCGGCTTTTAGTGAACGGTTTTTACCGGGGGTATGCTAGTATGCAAAACTACTAGGAAGATGTTTTTGTTTTCATCTCCCACCCTGCAACACATACCTGACCAAAGTGACATCTAGAGGGAGCGTAACTAATATGCAACCGATCTTTCAGCATAGTTAATACTCTCCAAGTAGAGGTTGTGGGGGAATGATCGTTACATTTTTATATATGGCCGTTTTTTTTGTCCTGACCCCCACTAACCGTCGGTGGCCGCGGACCTTCTCTGGCTAATGGATACTGTCAATACTGCCTGGCCAATTTGATACTGTCTCTTTGCCACCGAAAGGGATCTGCTTGGAGATTAACACTGTCAGTGTGTATTACACAAATACACATTTTAGGTCACAAACAAGCATACAAATTACAATTTGTGTGAAATTGTTTAGGTACAGTACGGGTGCTTAGGGATTAGGTATTTGGACCTGTAGCTAATCAGTCACTCCTACCATGGAGGTACCTACTGGTACACACAGCTCTAGAGACACGTGTGCTGTTCCAGGTTGTTGCATCCCTCCCTGCATCCAGACAGAAGTTAGCCTCTGATTCGGCACTGTTGTCATTTCAAGTTCAATGAAATAACAATAATGTGCTTGCTATATGTCTCAACAGTTAATCAATGAAAGTTACTATATTGATGGAGGTTAGACATCAAGGTACATGTAGTTTTCCTTTCAAACAGTACTTCAAACCATTATGTACAAAAGGACTATTTTTTTTACATTATGAAATATTCTTATTATTGTTCTTAATTTTTTTTCCATCCAGAAATGGACAGAACTGGAGACACACCCTCGGAGAGTGAGGAGAGCAGTTTTAGGACAACTCCCGAGTCTTGCTTTACTGTGAACAGCCGAACAGGAGACAATCCTGGGGAAAATGCAACAGCACAACATCTAGTAAAACACACTGGTGAGAAACCCTACATGTGTGGGGAGTGTGGATACAGGACAGCTGACAGGTCTCACTTATCCCGACATATGAGGACCCATACAGGAGAAAAACCCTACAAGTGTGACCAGTGTGACTATTCTGCAGTACAGAAATCTGATTTGGACTTACATCTAACAAAGCACACTGGAGACAAACCCTACATGTGTGTGGAGTGTGGATACAGAACAGCTGACAGGTCTCACTTATCCCGACATATGAGAACCCATACAGGACAAAATCCTGGTGAAAATGCATCAGACCAAAATCTAACCAAGAACGTTACAATTACACCAACATGTGTCATTCTTGATCTAACAAACGTCCCTGGTGAGAAATGCTACATGTGTGGGGTATGTGGGTACAGGGATATTTGTAAGTCTGCCCTGTCAGCACATATGATTATCCACACAGGGCAAAAAACCTACTGCACAGGTGAAAAACCCTACAAGTGTGACCAGTGTGACTATTCTACAGCACGGAAATCTGATTTGGACACACATATGAGAAAACACACTGGTGAGAAACCCTACCTGTGTGGGGAGTGTGGATATAGGACTAGTTACAGATCTACCTTAACCCAACATATGAGAACCCATACAGGAGAAAAACCCTACAAATGTGATCAGTGTGACTTTTCTACTGCATACAAAAAATACCTGGACATACATCTAACAAAGCACAGTGGGAACAAACCCTACATGTGTGGGGAGTGTGGATACAGGACAGCTGTTAAGTATATCTTATCCCAACATATGAAAACCCACACAGCAGAAAAACCCTATAAATGTGACAAGTGTGACTATTCTGCAGCACGGAAACAGTACTTGGACAACCATCTAAGAAGCCACACTGGAGACAAACCCTACATGTGTGGGGAGTGTGGGTACAGGACAGTTAACAAGTCTACCTTATTCTCACATATGAGGACCCACACAGGAGAAAAACCCTACAAGTGTGACCTCTGTGACTATTCTGCAGCAGAGAAACAGTACTTGAAAAAACATCTAAGAAAACACACTGGAGACAAACCCTACATGTGTGAAAAGTGTGGGTACAGGACAGCTGACAGGTATCACTTATCCATACATATGAGAACTCATACAGGAGAAAAACCCTACAAGTGTGATCAGTGCGACTTTTCTTCAGCACAAAAATCCAGTTTGGCCGCACATCGAACAACTCACACAGGTGAGAAACCCTACATGTGTGGGGAGTGTGGGTACAGGGCAGCTAACAAATGTAACTTGTCCCAGCATGTGAAAACCCATGCTATAGAAAAACCCTACAAATGTGATCACTGTGACTATTCTACAGCAAAGAAGTCCAGTTTTGACCAACATCTCACAAAACACACTGGTGAGAAACCCTACATGTGTGAGGAGTGTGGGTATAGGACTGGTTACAGGTCTACTTTAACCAAACATATGAGAACCCACACAGGAGAAAAACCCTACAAGTGTGACCAGTGTGACTATTCTGCAGCTCAGAAATCCAGTCTGGACATTCATCTAACAAAGCACAGTGGAAACAAACCGTACATGTGTGACAAGTGTGGGTACACGGCAGCTGTAAAGTCTAACTTATCCAAACATATGAAAGCCCACACAGGAGAAAAGCATGGATGAAAAAGGATGATGCAAATTACTGACGAAAGCAAGTGGACGCTACCTAAAACATCTGACATTTCCAAAATCACACCCAGTCGCTGGAGTAACTGCTTTTTGGCATATCTTATTACTAGTACCTTCACCAACGTATGTTCAGTGATGCTTCTTAATAAAAAGTAGTGTCCCTTTGCGGCAAAATCACCGAAAACGGTTAATAACATATTTAAAGTTGAAACTTTTGGTCCAACACAAAAAATTCTCTCACCTAGAGCTTTCGACCAGTCACTCTGGTCTTCCTCAGTAGACTGACCCAGTGAGGCTTGTCATGTGGCTTCTGTGAAGTGTGATATTAACACACTTTTGTGTTTGTAATGTAACTTATAAGTATGAGAAATAAAGGAAGTGATGGCAAGTGACTGAGTGTGTTCGCATTATTTATTATAAAACATTCATCTTTTAAAGCATAATTACGATATAGAAAAAAAAGGCCCACATATTCTTATTAAGGCGACATTGTGAAAACTACAGCTGTGCATTAAGGTGAACATAACAAACTTTGGGGTTAATAATTGCCCACTCTACCTCTATGCCAAATTTCAGGTCATCTTGCTGTAAAATAACATTTGGATCCATTTGACGTTAAAATTGCGCCGTCACCGTAACATCTACTTGGAGATTACTGTGGAGCCGCGAACTGCGGTGAGAGACGCAAAGGTCAGCGGGAGGTCATCCTTTTCAAGATGGCCGCCGGGACTGATCATAGAGGTTTGTTACTCCGTGAAGGAGGTCAGGACCTCC